GATAACGAATGAACTACTAATTAATTAGGGTTTTTTTTTTTCTTTCTCAAGGTCTCCTAACAACTCTAACAATATAAATTAGTTTTTCCAGTTTTTGTACTTTATATAAATGGAATCATAAAGCATGAACTCTTCTGTTCGGTTTTGTACGCTCGATATTATACTTGTGAAATTCTTCCCTATTTTGGCCTATTTAAAAAAAAGTTGCCTTAGAGTCGATTCCGACTTGTAGCAACCCTATAGGACAGAGTAGAACTGCCCCATAGGGTTTCTAAGGAGCAGCTGGTGGACTTGAGCTGCCGATCTTTTGGTTGCAGCCAAGCTCTAACCACTGCCCCACCAGGGTCACTATGAGTTGGAATCGATTCCATGACAAAGGTTTTTTGGGCTATTAAAAAAAAAAAAAAAAAAAAAAAAACCCGTTGCCGTGGAGCCGATTCCAACTCGTAGGTACCCTACAGGACAGAGTAAAACTGCCCCATAGAGTTTCCAAGGAGCGCCTGGTGGATTCGAACTGCTAACCTCGTTAGTAGCCGGAACACTTAACCACTACCATACCAGGGTTTAGTTTATTCTTTTTCACTGTGGTGTAATACTTCATTACGTGAATACGCCACAATTTGTTCAACCCATTCAACTGTTGATAGGCATTTGGATTGTATCCAGTTTGGGGCTATTACAGATAGTGTTGCTCTGAACATTACTGTAGGTGCCTTTTGGTGCACAGGTAGTCATTTCTGTTGGGCATATTTTTAGGAGTGGAATTGCAGGATTTGCCATATATTTTGCTCCTATTCATTGTCTCTCCTGATTTGAATGTACGTTCCGTGTCTATTTTGTCCACTATTATGTTCCAGCACTTAACACATAGCAGGCCTTCACTAAGTAATTGCTGAATGGATAAATAGCTGAATGAACTACCTTGTGAGGGAGGTATTACCCCTCCTTTAGAGAAGAGGAAACCCGAGGCTCTGAGCGATTAGGTCATATGCACAAGATCACTCAGATAGTCAGGAATTCCATCCCAGGCCCGACTGAAGAGCGAGCTCTTGATGCTCCTCTGCCTCCCGGGTCTTGTCTCCAAATCTTTATTGTGAAGCAGGGCGCAGAGCCTGTGGTCGGGCGTCCTTCCTCAAGGTCACCAGGCTGGGGACTCAAAACCCCGCGCGGTGCTCAAACTTCAAGCATGGAACCAACACGCAGTAGGCAAGAGTGGAAGAGGGTGTAGGGCTCCTCATCCACTTGGGAATGCCCCGCCCCGGGCGGTCCTAGGCTGCGCCGCCCACCCTCCCCCTCGGCCTGTGCGGAGCAAGCGCGGGCCCCACCTGCTCGGAAGCAGCTACCCGCCTGGGGCTGGCAGGTGGGACCAGCCGAGCCCGCTCCGCTCCGCCCTGCCCTGCCCCGCCCCTTGGCCGCTCCGGCTGTAAGGTCCCGGGCGCGGTTAAACCAAGACCCAGACCTATACAGGCTAGTATTCAGCTCACTTCATGGCATAAGGAGCGCAACTCCCGCCGCAGCCGCGGGCCTCGGTTGTCGGAGCCGTCATGCGTCCCCGCGAAAGTCTCAAGGAGCGTGCAGATGAAGCGGCCCTTTGCTTTCTTCTCCCGTTTCCCCTGCCGGCTCCAGGGAACGCCTCTCTCCATGCGCGGTCCCAGGGCAGAACACTGAGGGCCTGCCAGCCCTAACCGGCGCCCCCTCCCTGCGCTGTTCGGGAGCAGCCTCGGCGGCCCGCGGCAGGGGGCTGCGCCCACTGCGCTAGCCGCATGCCCGCCCCCGACGCGGCTCAGGGACTGCAGCCCGCGGAGGAGTAGTTCAGGGGACAATCGCGGCCAGCGCCGTGCGACTGCAGGGGCTTCGTCGTGCACCGGCTGCTGGCTCACCTAGAACTGGCCCGGGGCCGCGAGGCGCGCTCCCCGGGCTGGGCTCCCGGGAGCACCTTCACCCCCTCTCGCGCGTACGGAAGGCAGACAGGCTCCACCCGCCGCGCAGGCGATCCTGGAGACTGGGATCCTGGAGGCGGGATTCGCTTGCCTGTCTCACTGAGAGGGTGTCTTGCTAGTAGGTGCTTTGGGAAAGTGCCTATTTGAGTGGGAAACTCTCTTTAGGGCGAAAAGCGGAGGTGGGTTCTGAATTGATGAGCCGCTGGGCAACGGAGAGGCACTTAATCTGACAGGGATTTAGGGTGAAGGGACTTCTCACAGCCTTCCTAGTCACCTCAAGCAGAGGGTTCCCCGCATTGGTGACCGGGGGCTGGCCACCAACAACCTCCCCTCACCATCCACCCCCTTCAGCCCGCCGGAGATGTCTTCCAGGAAGTCGTGCTGTGGCTCCTGCGGCTTGAGAACATCTTTGATTTCTCCCTGGCCATTTATAATCTGGCCCTCACCATCATCAGCCGCCTCTTGGTTTCACTGAAGGTATGGAGGCATCTGGGGAAAGGTGACAGATGGTGGGGATGGAACTAACGTCTGCTCCCTATAGCGGCCTGAGAGATGAGCGATCCCAGAAGCTCAAACCAAGGCTCATGAACTAATTTACCCCAAGTGATAGAGCTGGGATTCAAACTCTTCCATACCCTACTACCATGTCTGTCTGACTCAGTGTTCATTGTGTGGTCCTCAGGGCTGGCCTTTTGGGGAGCATGAGAGGACCTCACTGGGAAAAGAACTTCCTGTGTGATGAAGTCGAAAGTGCTTGTCTAGACCTATCTGCCGACCTGAGGGCAGGATGGGACGGTGTGTTCCCTGAGAAGGTCCCGTATTTCCCACCTCCAGTTAGTCCTCTACAAAAGAATACTGACTAGCCATCTGTAATTGTGAAATCAGGAGCATTTTCATTGGTCAGATCTAAAAATGGCACTCCTTTTGTGGAGGAGTAAAAATCAGTCTTAAAACAAAAACCCCCATCTTCTCAAAGACCACACAGATGCTTTACAGTCTGTATCTGGTGTTCATATTCTGCTCAAACCTGTTTTTTCCATACTGCAGATAAAAAGAGAGGTACCTCCAGGGTGTCACAAATTACTTCCTTGAGACTTTCTGCAAAAGTTAATGAAGAAGAGGGAAGGTATTCATCCCTGGAAGTCCACTGCAGCTGCTTTTGAGATGTTAACACTGGAACACTCAGGTTTCATGATGGGTGTGTGCCCTTGGAAATAGCGGGCATCTTGGAAAAGTCACTAACTTCCCAAGGCTTGTCAGACTCAGACCCCACAGATTCTGGCCCAGAATTCTTCTGACCCAGCAAACCCAGAGTCCTGACCTCCTGGCAGGTTATCTTACCTCACTGGTTGATGCCAGATGCCATCTCTCCATAGACAGGCATCTGCTGTCAAGCTAGGAAAAGGCTTTCTAAACCATGTGACTTAATGTGGACCCCCATAAATTGCATCTAAGAAAACTGTTTGATACTTCAGGACTTGGCTGTGGTCCTCAGGAACTCTGGGCCCTCCTCTGAGAAGGGCAGACAGCCATGTGTTGCTGGTGGAGGAGAAGCCCCAATGAGTGCTTCAGACTTGCTTGGACTTCTGAGTTTCACTGTAGCTTCTGTTCAGGAGAAGATCTTCCCCCAGTACCCTTCCCAGTCCTCTCTGCTCCCTAACTCCTTACCCCGCTTTGGGGGTTGTGGAATCACTGCCATTTCCACAGAGTCTCCCTTGGCTGATTTTAGGAGTCTGAGGGGGCAGGAAAAAGCCACTGTGTGTGCAGTTCCAAACCTTTAATTAAAAAAAAAAAGTTTTTAACCCGTTTATTAGAATATAATTTGTGCCCCCTAAAAGTTGCTTTAGTCCAACTAAAAATCAAATAAGTGAACCTTAAAAGAAGTATTTCTGGAGGTTATAGTAATACTTCATTTATCTAAAAAAGTAGGACCAAGTTTTTAATAGACTTAGTACTTGGATGTTTGTTCAGACAAATTTCATTAGTCCTTCTGGGAAAGGTCATACTTTTTCCAGAATGGAACTGCCTTCTATCCAGGGCTTTGAACCAGTTTGAACCAGTTCAGTCATGGCCAACAAAGCAAAACCATAACAGACCCGAATTTTTACAGTCTGAGTGATCCAGAATGATAACTGGAATGGGGAAAATTATGAGTGGAAGCCCTGGAACAGGAGACTCGGAAGAGGCATGGTGAGCCCTTTTAGGAGCCTGATACGTGAGACTGAATTATTGGGAGGACTGTGGAGGGCGACACAACATTCAAAGCAGCGCAGTCGGCCACCATCTTTGAGTGGGGCATCACTGTTTCCAACTCTGCTCAAAATCCAAGGGGCAAGAGATTTGGTTGCTATGCAATGCATATGCTGCCCTTGTTTTCTAAGAGGGAGATTAAGTTTCTAGCAGGGCTTCGACCCATACTTTTCCCATCTCAATTATTGTTCTGGTTCACCCAAATTTTAAAATTTCAGGTCTGTTCCAGTTTTGCTTCCTCAGCCATGACTGAACCAGGAAGAACCAGTTCAAAGTCCTGCTTCAATCAAAGATAAACGGAATGTGGTTGCAGCTGCAGTTCTACCAGTGGGCCTGTCTGGTGCAGACCAGGAAGCTCAAAGGCATAATTTTTCTCTCTATGACAAGTAACCATGGTTGGGATTGGGACCAGGAATGGGCAGAGCCCACAGCTTCTGGAAAGCTTTGGGTGAATTCTTGCAGCTAAATAGAGCAGATGGCAGCACCCTAGCCTCCAAAGAACCATTGGGCATGAACTGGCGTTCAGCTGGGGATCAGGACCTGTTTGTAAAGGTGACTATCTCATGTTCACTGGACATTGTCACTCCTACCGGGGGACTTGACAGATGGCCAGGATCTTTCTTCCACATCTGATCTGCTAAAAGAAAGCCCAGGTAGACATCAGCTTTGCCCCAGACCAGGCTCTCAGAGTTGTGCCTCCTTAGCTGATGGACTTTTCTTTCACTTTCTGCGGTAGGCCACTGAGAGACGATTCCACTAGGGTCATGAGATGCCCAGTCCCCGTGGGTAAGAAAACAAAAGCTACCATGACATGATGTAGGGCTTTGGCCTCTTTATTTTCTTTTTACAGTTAATTCCACGCATAAAAGACTTCATAAATCACTGTGGCTCTGGCTATACCCCGAATGAGCTGCCAAAGATAGAGCTGGCTATTCTGGACAGACTGCACTGAGACCTCTATATCGGGACGCCGCTGGCCTTCTTGACTATAGTGAGTACAAGGAGTTTGCAGAGTCTACCACAGACTCATTCGTGCCTTTGGAACAGCTGTTCACCACATAGGACGGCAAAGCACAGGTGTGCACACGTCCTTGCACATGCACCACAGTGAGGTGACCTACCTATGAGGCTCATGATATACGGAAGAGTGAAAATGTATCTTAAATAGACCCAAATCCAACACAGTTCCACCAGACTACTTCTAACCGACATTAAATGAACTTTACAAAGGTTTTTTAGACAGCACTATTATGGTAGGTTTCTCTTTTAAATACACACTGCAAAAATATTTCACTTTCCATTCTATGAATACTGTACATAAAAAGCTATCTGCTTTTGCTACACTTTACACACATTCACTTAGCTGTCTTTGTTCACCCACACACAATGCTTTTGGAGGCTTTAGAGCATATTGATCTGGCACTTAAAAAAATATCAGACATTAGTTTTTGTTTTTAGTTAGGGGAATGATGGTCATCCTTAAGGATATGATTCTGTTAGTAAGGCAAAATTATGTAACGTGGAAATGTCACGGGTTTTGGTCTGTTATGAAGCATGAAGATTAAATCACTAAGGGATGTTTCATTATGAAAACTGATCACTGTTGCCAAGTGACAGAGCTTCTTCTCATGTCAAGCAGATATAAGTAAATTTGCTGCTGCCTTGATCTTGAATAGTATGCTTCTATTTGTCAGAATTGAAACATTGTCATCTAGGTACTTTAGGCTCATGATGTTAATGACCATGTCACAGAGCAGACTCTTCTCTCTCCAAGGTTCAAGCTCTGCTTGGCCATAAAATGGGCATTAAGCCTCCAGTGCCATATGGGGCCATGGATGGGAATGAAAAGGGTTGGGCAAATTTGATGCTCCCTGATGGAAATTTAAATTGTTTGCACTTTTGGTCATTGATATATGAAAACTATGGGGTTTTCTGTTCTAACATTAAAAACCACGGTCTCCAGTTCCACGCCCTGGTGGTACTGGGCTGGCCCCACGTGGTGGAGCTGCTGCCTCAGAGGAATCCTTCCCGCCACGTCGCGTCCCTGACCAGGCAGCTGCAGCACTGTATGGCGGGCCACCAGCTGCTGCAGTTCAAGGGCTCCACACTGGCCTTGGTCATCATCACTTTAGAGTTGGAGAGGCTCATGCCCGACTGGTGCACTCCTCCTACATCTGATCTGCTAAAGAAACACAGGTAGACATCAACTTTGCCCCAGACCAGGCTCTCAGAGTTGTGCCCTCTTAGCTGATGCACTCTGACACCCAAAGGGTACCCAGGCTCCTCTTGGCCCTTGTAAGCCCCAGAGATGCTCTGGCTATGATGATTCTGAGAAGAGTCTGCCTAACTTTTGGCCATGCCCTTTGGGCTGTGGATATGGGATACATGTTCCCTTCACCAGATCAGTGGTGGTGGCTTTCTCTTACAGTGAAAGGATTTCTCTGACAGTGAGAGAAGCTTCATCTCAAAGGAGCCATTGTAGTCAAGAGGATGAGGGACGTGTCCAGCTCAGGAGGAAGCAACATGGAGCTTAATATTAGGAAGTGTGAATTCCAGGCCCCTCACCCTCTGTATGAGGGTGTGGTGCCAGGCACTGGGGCACCACAAGGCAAGTGCTGGGGGTCAGAAACCCTCAGGATGGACAGATTAAGATGCAATGCATAGTTAGGCAGATGGCACTTCTACTGAGGCTGGAGATGGATGTCCCTGAGATGGTGTGGTTAATGCTTTAAGTTGGACCTTCCTAAAGTTGCATCATGCTAGCATTTTGGCACCCAACTGCTTATTCCTTAGACTGCACTGTGGTTCTGCTTCAAGACTGGCCACTCTTTTAATTACAGATCAATATTGGCCAGTTCAGCCACTGCAAGAAACTTGCAAGCAGCGCTGAGAAGATTTTAGTCATCATCCTGCAGAGACAATTTTCTGTTTCACCTGCTAGCAAGGCTCTTTGCCCAACCCCACTGCCCTCCAGAGCATAATAGGTTTCCTCCTTGCTCTGACTGAATTCTTTGGCTTTTACGAGTCCTGCAACAAGAAGGGAAGACAACCTTGGAAGAACAACTGAGAAAATGTTCCCGGCAGAGTCCTTAGAAGAAAATAAGGGGAAAAAAGCAAGTCAAGTTCACTAGAGGTGAGGGTGGTCCAAAGCCTCACAGACCACAACACTGCATCCTTTTCTCACCCTTGGGCCTGAGAACAGGAGAGTAAATGCTCATACTACAGCTTGCTTTTCCTTCCTTCTCCGGCAAGGCTTGGTGTTGGCTGCTAAGAGAGCTGGAATATGAGGGGCTGACTGACCAGTCCTTGCGGCTCTGGCCTCCAGAACTGGCCAGGTGCTTCCCAGGCTCATACCAAACATATGTGCAGCGTGTCAAGCCTCAACTATCCTGCCACTCTGAAAATGGGACAATCTCTGAAGATCCTCTTACTCTGACTTGGCCATAACTTACATGTCCTCTTCCCAAGGACTGGATTATACAGTATTTTTTTTAATGTACAGTGACTTGAGCAAGCTTTAAGCATGTTTTTCCTTGTTACCCTTAAGTAGTTTGTTAGTTTAATTAGGGGAACATTTATGCCAATGAATCGGTATTATAGGGTAACACCTGTTGGGGGCACCACTCTGAAAGCTTTTTGTTGGGATGAGCAGGTTCTGAGATCTAGCCTGCTCCAACCACTGTGCTGCAGGAGGAGGAGGTGACCAGCATGATGGGGGTGGGGCAGGGGGAGGCCAGCTGCCCCTCTGAATCTGTGACACTATAGAGCCATTCTCTAAGCAGTGGCATCCAGCTGGTGTCTTTGCCAGCTGGGGCTGTATAAGCAGTGCTGGGCCTATGAATGACTGAGCCACCCGTTCAGAGGTGGTTTGTGAAGTCTTTGTGCTGTAAACACTTTCTGTGAATGTGCTAAGCCATGAGGGAGTATGAGCTGCTGTTAGGTGCAGAGTGGTCCAGGACCAGATACACTGTAATAACGTCTCTACTACAGAGTCAACACACATCTCTACCTCTTCTTGACACAAATTTGCTTGTTGCAGCTTTTTAAAAAATGAACATTAACTGCTTTCAACCCTGTTTGAATAGTACTTTACACTTATGGCATAAAATGCATTTAGACTTGCTAGTGTCAGATATACTTGAAGATCATCTCCTGGGTTATACCAGTCACAGTCCTCTTGTCCAGCACCCATTTTACAGATGAAGATACTGAGGGGGCAGCATCCTGTTCGTGCCACAGCTCCCACGGTGGCCATGACTGCCCTCTGCCTCATCCCTTCCACTGTGAATGGGCAGTGAGCCAACAGTTCAGGGACTCATCCCGAGGGCCCACACCAGCTCAGGCTGTCTCAGACTTTGGGGAGCTGCTGGGAGGCATCTGGATCTCTTAACCAGGTAACTTTAGGTGTAAGCACAGCCTGTTCCCAAAGCTGATCCAACTCTCTTGAAGAAAGGAGAAAGTAGACCTGTGAGGCCCCAGTCCTGGAGTAAAGGACAGCCTGAGGTTGAGGTTGCTCCACCTATCTGTAAACTCTTCTCTTGGGAAGCTAACTTCTCTGATGTCAAAGCATCAGTTGAGTTAAAAATAAAAAACCTGTGTGCTGTTGAAGTTTGCCTCACAGCCCCAGGTCCCATCCTACCCCCTCTAACAGCATTTCTACCACTGATCCTCTCCTTTCTTGGCAGTTCTGGAATATTTTTCTGAGATTAGAACGTCAAAACCCACCTCAGCTCAGAGATTGGGGGTCACTGTGGGGGGAAATAACGGACACAACCCATCTTCCTTTTGTTTCCACCTACAGAAGGGCAGGGGCTGGTAAAGGACTGTGGCTGCAGAATATGGAGATGGGAGAAAGCTCAGAGACAGATGCTATGGCAGCGGGAAAGGCAGTCGGGCTATGAAGGGAGTTGCAGGGTAGGTGAGCAACTTGTCCAAATAGCACTTTCCCCAAAAAATGGGTGAGCAGAGTCATATAACGTTCCCTCCACCAAGGAGGCCCTTCTCCTTTTGGCTTCCTGGAGTCCCTGTCCCTCAAAGCTTGGTGAACACTTTGCTTCCCTGAGACCTGCCTTCCCATTGGCACAGCTAAGCAATAGCTTCATTAGGGACGCCAGTACTCCGACCTCAGAACTCGTGTTTCATTTTTGCCTCTCCAGAGTCTAGCCTAGTGCCAAAAGAGAAAGGTCCTCAACAAATGAACCCCTTGAGCTTGTTGTCACTTTCTTCAATCACCAGTCTGCACTTCCTCAATCTGCCTGTCCACCAGGACGTCCCACCTCTTCAAAACCATCTTTGGTCCAACAGCCCACACTGTCACACTGCACACGTTAACACTTACGACGTTGTCACTGTTCCTTCATCATCCCATTGGGGTGCCAAGGAGCAGCTGTAGCTCAGGAGTTACAGGTATAGACTTCCTAGGTTCAAATCCCAACCCCTCCAGTTACTAGCTGTGTGACCTTGGGTAATTACTTAACCTCTCTGTGCCTCATCTATAAAATGGGGAGGATAATGGCACCTAATCACAAGATTATTATGAGCATTAGAGGAGTTGGTGTATGTAATGCACTTCAGAGCAATGCCAAGCACATGATAAGCACTCTAATATTAGTGGTTCTGTGTTAAGCCTCTGAGACAAGGATGTAAAGTCCTCGAGGGCAGGGCGCACCTACTCTCATGTCCTGCACAGCACCCAGTCACCCAATAAAGGTACAGGAACCACAGGTGGCATCTTCTATTTCCTGTGACCCTTTCCTCCATCCCATATCCATCCAAAAGCCCCTCACAGAATTCATTATTAAAACATAATTCCCGTAGAAGTTGATTTGATTAACACCCACAAAGTTCACAGAAAGACAAGCTGTATTTTACCACATTTGTAGTAGATTAATAGGCTCAGGGACCTTGTTAAATCAGAAAAGCTACTGCCCAAAAAAGACACCACAAAAACTCAAAATAAATGCAAAATTTAATGAAAAAAAATGAGTACAAAGTGAATGGAAAGGAACAAAAACAATCAAATGAAGGAGTAAATGAATTAACGAATGAAGCAGTTTTAGAAAAGCATGTTAATGTAACAGACTAGCAAGCCATGCTTCCCTTGGGCCTGTTATCCAGTAATATGAACCCCACTTAACAGGAAACCCACATGTATACACACACAAACACATATGTGGTCAGCGTGCACAATTACAAACCACCTAGACTCAGGCCACTCATAACTAGGATGGCCGTACATCCTGGTTTGCCTAGAAGGGTTCCGGGTTATACCTGCTGACCTGACATAATTAGTTTAACAGTCACTCTCAAAGAGTGTCCCAGTTTGGACAATAAGTTACATGATGATTTTACCCAAAACCAACATGATCCCACATGAAAGCCCTAATAATTCCAATAGATGTTAACGAGAAGCAGGGTGGGGTGGGGGGCTTAAATCAGACCCTGCAGACAGGGGTCACATTCCATGAGGTGTAGTTTGTGAAATAATGGCAAGCCTTAAGCTCACCTTATGCACCAAGGATTAATTTGGTCTCAGCTAAAGATGATACAATTCCAAACAAACAGCAGTGGGGGAGAGAAGTGCAGTGAGGCTCGCTGAAGCTGATGGGGCCCATGGAGGGCAGCTCAGTTCCCAGAAAATGCTAGTCTGACAGGTCTCCCCAGAAATGCTGAGAAGCGTTGGGCCCACAGGCAGGCAACCAGGCACAATTACTGCCTTCCAGTATGCCTGGGTGCACCCTGTAGGCGGTGGCGGGCAGGCGGCAGAACCTGCCCATCCCAGAGCCACCCCCCAGATTGGCCCATAATTGGTCCTCTTATATAACCAGTGGACCTGCTGGTCATGGAGCCTCATCTGCAGAAATACATTAGCTGAGAGAGGCTATCTTAAAGGTCACATTTTGACCCAAGTGAATATATTTGAAGACATATAATTACCCTGAAGGCAAGCCACTCATAGTCCATGTCTGCCTTGTGTGCTGTCAAATTGATTCTGACTCATAGTGACCCTACAGGACAAGAGTAGAACTGCCCCATAGAGTTTCCTTTGCAGAAGCAGATTGCCACCTCTTTCTCCCACGGAGCAGCTGGTTGGTTAACAGTCAAATGCTTAACCACTGAGCTGCAGGGCTCCTTACATCTACCTCAGTCCCCTCATTTACCTTTTTAGATGGTGACACTGAAACATCAGTTTTCAGTCATGACTGTGAAGCTCATGAGGCTTCATCCTCAGGGCCCCTTCCAAGGCCCTGTACCTAATTTTATATTTATATTCTTTTTCCTAAAGAAGGCTTCCGAAATTGTTCAAGCTTCCAGCCCCACAAAACCTGGATCCGTCCCTGGTCATGGCATAACACTTTGAGAATTTTCACTTTCCGCATTCATAGGACCTGCTCTAGCCCTGGCGTGCGGAGCCCCTCTTCCAGCAGCACCTCAGTGGGCATGCACAGCTTACTCCTCAGCCCCATTCTGAATGGACCACCATCTCAGAAGGGCAGGAAGGAGCCGGTACTTGGTCATGGAAATCAATAAAGCAGGCCAAGACAGCAAGGGGAAAATGGCGATGGAGAGTAGAGGGCATGAGAAAACGAGCTAGCAGTCCAAAAATAAATTAGCGCAGCTTCCTAAGGCTTCCAGCTAGGAAGTGCACTAGACTGTGAGCTCCTTGAGGGTAGGGGCAGTGCACGACTCTGAGCAGCCCCAGTGTCTAGCACAGTGCTTCATCAACATTTAACGGATACCTTCCTTTCTCCTATTCATTTTCGTCTCCCTTTTTACCAGGCCATATTTTCAACCCTCATATTCCCAATGGCTGGCAAACCAACAGGTACAAAAAAGAACCAATGTTGCTAGTATTATCTTAAAATGTTCCCTTTTTGAGTGCAGCGGAAGCGGAAAAGCGCTCTTCCTGCTGGTTTTTTTCTTTAACTGTCCATATACGCCAGATACCTTCAGATCTTTGCCCTGTGACTCAGCCAGGAAGAAGGAAACGATGACCTTGGAATAAAAACCTTCTGAACGCTCCTTGCACGTGGAATATGCAGAGTTGGTTCGGGGTCTTAATTGAAGTCAAACACTTAACACACAGACATGGCGTTGGTCCGTGTTTATAGGTAGCACCTCCGGGCCACACAGACAACGGCTTTGGGCTGCTGTTCCATTTACATTCACAGTAAAAACACTGGACATAGTCTTGCTCATGGTCCACTTTCATCCGTAAAGAAATTCCAAACACTGTCATTACAGAAGTTTATTGCCCACCTCTCCCTGTATATTGGGGTACTTTATACATAAGAAAGGTTTAGATAAATTTTTAGTTTTTAAAAATCAGGGAATCTGTGTTACTTTATGAATATAATGGGAGAGAGATTATTTTTCTTTATGCTCGTGCCAAAATAAAAATTCAGGAGTGTTTTAAAAGTTATTACTGAAATTAAGCTCTAGGTTAGAAACATTAAAACAAAGGGCAGTTGGGTGAATTTTGCAGCATGTATACCAGATCAGGCGGCCGCACCTAAGGCACCCCGTGAGCTGCCATCCTGCCGTTGAACAATTAGGCCTGGCATCGCTGGCCGGGGCCATCGCTAGAGCGGCACATGACTGCTCCGTCAAGGAATAGTGACACTGTAAATGGAAGACCAGCCACTGGCTCTGAAAAAAATAAACCTCGTCAGTTTTGGATTCCATCATTCATGGCTTTTCCGTGTATGCATAGAGAGGGGTGGGCGGCCAGGCCCAGGGGCAGCCTGGGGCTGGCAGTAGGGTCAGGTAAAGCAAGGCTGTAAACACTGGAGTCTGTACCAGCTCCCAGTCCGTCCTCACACCATTTATGGGTGAAGGGTCACAAGGTGTAACTCTAGCAACTTAACACCTGAAAGTCTAAAATCCGCTCCTGACATGTAAGTCTGTGCGTGCGTTAACTGAAAAATAAAAATAAAACAAACAAACAAAAACAGGCACATTAAAAGATACGCAGACCAAATCAAACGGAAGCAAAAGACAGCAAGGTGGACACTGGGAAAGGGCAGTCGGTTTGGCATTTGTGATGAGCAAACCAGAGACCTCGCTTCAGTATGTGGCATCCCAGGCTGAGGGTCAAGATCTGGTTGGGAAGTAATTTTGCAAAAATGAATTAAAATTTGAAGAATAAGTGCAACCTATCAAAGTCATTCAACTCAATGGTCATGAAATGCACTCCCCATTCCCCTGACCAGGACAGGAGGAAGAGGTGCTCCTCACCACCCCACCTACCGTACTCCTGGCCTCCACAAAGCCAGCAGGGAAAACAGACCTTTCTCTCAGAGGCCAAACTGACTGAAGCTTTCTGCCATGTCCAGCCAACAGAAAAGACCTGTTTTCTAGGCCTAGGCCTGGAAAACATACCAAGGAACCCAGGCCACATGGGAAAAGCAGGGAGACCAGATACCAGTGACAAGCCACCCAACCCTGAGAGGTATGCCAGTGTGGCCCAGCAGGGCCAGTGTGGAGCCTCCAGGGACTTGTGCCAGCTTGCACCCCACTCAGACCCTGACTTCGCCCTAGGTCTCTGTCTTTGTTTTCTGAGTGGTTTCTCCACAATTTATTTCCTAGGGAACCTGCTTGTCTTTCCTTTAACAAGAGGACCTGAGCCAAGGCCGGTAGGGAACAGGGCAAGGCTGCTTTGAATCACAGACCCCTAGGAGAAGCAAGATTTCTGAGCCACTGGCTTGAAACTCACACAGGTCCCAACTCACAGAGGTCCCACGCTAACCAAGCCAAGAGCAGGACATGTGAGCAGGGCTGAAAGCAAATCCAAAGCATAGGGGAAATTTGCATGGCTGAGAGGAATGTGGGGCTGGTGTTCTCCCCAGGGACAGGCAGGTGCATATCTGTCCCAGCTGTGCCAGCAGGATGCGGGAAACTATAGAAAGGAGAAGCATCTGCCCCAAAGCAGAGAATGGGCCTTAGGAATGAGAATTTGCATACAAATCCTATATGCCTGGTTCTGTGCTCCTGACCTTCCCCCCTAGGGAGAAGCCCTTTAAGTTTCTTTCCCTTAGTATGTGTCTGTACCTCTATGCATGTGTGTACTGAGGATTAGGTGTATGCCTGAGTCTGTGTACATGATAAGAGAATAAATAAGACTGTGTGTATGCGTGTGTATGTATGTTCAGATGCACACATCTTAGAGAATGTGTACATGGAGGGCAGGGAGGCTGATGCCAGAAGCAGTGGCCTAGGGCCACAGCTAGCGCTGCACTTCATGGCCCTAACCACTAGGATTCACTGCCACCAAGGAAGGAAGGGCCTGGGCACACATATTCTCAAACATTCCAGGAGGAAATGGGATTCCATGGAGGCCAAGAGTGAAGGCCAGGATGGGTACACCTGCTTAGTTCCTGAGTTGTCAAGAGAAGGAAGGCACCTGGTACAGGCCAGGGGCAGGGAGAAGCAAGGGTGGATGAGATCCCCACAGTGTGGTGTGGGACACCAAAGGAAGCGGGATGGGAGCAGGAGTTCCCCAGGAGCTGGGGCATCTGGACTCCAACTAAGCATGTGAAAACAGGCAATTAAAAATACCAGGGAGAAGTGACTCAGGGTTGCCTCCACCTGGTCAACAAGTTGACTACACTCCTTGAGGTCAGGAAAAGCCTCCTTGCCATCCCCTAGAGTCCACTCTCCAGAGAAACAACTCCAACTTTTACTTTAGGGGCAGCCCCCCTCCCTAGCAGGATGCACAGAGCCCCTACAGAGAGCTTCTGTCCTTCCTTTGGCCCCAAGAGCCCTTCAGAATAGCTGGGTAGCAATTGTGTATCCAGGGGGTCAGCACTAGCTGGGCTCAAGTCTCTGCTACCCTCAATCACCACCTGGCAGCCAATCCATGCCAGCCCACACCCATTGCCTCAGAGGCCACAGAGGGGATACGCACAGCTGTCTGAGCAGAAACCATGGGAGCATTTGGAATCCTGCTGGAAAGGCTGACATTCCCAGGCCCTGTCCCTCTCATGGCCTGAAAGGCCTTCCCCTAGGCCCCTACGGCCACAGCCTCTCCCTCCCTGTGAGGCCCAGCCTTCACCACGCTGCAGTGGACAGTCCCCAGCAGCTGAGGGGGCTGCAGGAAAACAAACGAGTGAGAGAGGAGAGAGCAACGGGGAGAGAGAGAGCAAGGCCACATGCGCAAGAGGGAACGTGAACATAAGAGGGAGAGATCCAGGTCCTGAGATATCGAGATCACCAGTGAAAGAAAAAGGTGAGCAACAAAGAGGTGGGCAGGCAAGTGAAAATGAGAGAGCATGAGATGGCAAACAAGCAACAGAGCGGGGGAGAGTATAAGCAAAAGAGCAGGAGAGAAGGAGCAGGCTCAGGGGAGGGAGCCCAGCACCTACTTCTTCTTGTCTTTGTCCTTCCTCAGAGGCTGCTGTGAGGTGGCATGAAAGGCCTGTGACTGCAGAGCCTCCACGGCTGCCTTCCTGCGATTGAAGGCATTGGTCTCCTCCTCCAGCTCCCGCCGCTTCTCCTCCACCTTGCGCTTCTCCTCCTGGTGGACCCGCTTCAGGTGCTCAAACTTCTCATGAAGCTGGAAGTGGAAGGTGGGGGAGCCTAGACTTCAGTGTGGGCAGGGATGGTGCCCGGCCATTCCCCCGCCTCCCAGCCAGGCCCTTCCCTCTCTCCCCGGCCCATCTTTTGTTCCCTCACCACCACCCCAGGCCCTGTACACACCTCCCTTTCCTTCTCCTTCAACTCCAGCTCTGTCTCCTTCACTTTGTTGACGAACATCTGCCTCATCTCTTCCTCTTTCCTCTGCAGCTCACTCAGGAACTCCTTCCTCTTGGCCTCATATGTCTCCTGTAGGCTGCAAGGACCCAGAGAAGAGAGGCCAGGGTGGGGTTATGGAGGGAAGGGGCTGGGGCAGAGTCAAGGAAGCAGAAGCATGAGGGCCCTGGGGGTGGGAGGATGCTGGGGTATGGGCAGCCTCTTGCTCATCAGATCCCAGAAGACAGATACCAGAGTGGCAAGCCTGACTATGGCCTTGGAGGTGGGCTCACTCCTTGCACACGTGGTCACCTGAAGGGCTGGCTGTCACCATCGCTGTCTTGGAAGCCCATCTCCTCCAATTTGCAGCGTCGGTAGAGCTCGTAGTGTCGACTGTGGGTCTGTTCACGGAGGTCTTCCATGTTTACCCGGATCAGCATCTCCCGAAGCTTCACAAAGTCACAGTGATTCTCGTTCTCCACTGAGAGCAGAGGGTACACGGGGCATCAGGTGGGCACACAGATGGGCATGGGGAAGGCAGGAGCCAGGGCAGTGGCCAGGGTGCTGCAGGCAGACTCCACAGAGTCAGGGCAGGTACACAGGGAGAGCGGGGCCCAGGACAGGGTACTTGAGGCAGGCTTACAGAGGAGGGGAGCAACGCAGGACAGGGCACTAAGCTCAGGGCCCCCGGCTGGGGATGAGCTTGCCCCACCACACTCACCCTGGACCACTCCCCAAGGGTACTGCCGTGCTCGGACCAGCTTGTTCCCCACCTTCACCTCCTCGGTGCTGCCCACTACAGCAAAGGGCAGGTGTGCCTAGAAAGGGGCCCAAGAATTTGTGAGCACTAAGTTGACACACAGGCTAATGGACAGACTCCCTTCACTGCCCCTGGGCCCAGCGGGGGCTGATCTGGGGCTGCCCAGACCTGAACAAAGGCCCCAAAGACAGGTGCTCATTTCCTGGCTCTCTTTCAGAGAAGTGTCCTGGAACCTCCAAATAGGGGAGTGGGCTGAACCCTCAGCCTCCCTTCCTGGTGTTCCCCACTCTCTGGGTGTTCTTTCAGCCCTTGAGCTCCCCAGGGGCCATCAAAATCTCCCTTGAAGGACCTGTGGGCCTACCTCCCTTCCCAGTTCCTAAACCCTGGTAGCATGCCTGCTCACGCCTATAGTTCCAGGTTCCCACCTGAGTCCAGATCTTGTGAAACTCAAACCTTGGAAAAGCCTCAGTGCAGGCCCAATACCCAATTCCTCCATCCCTGGCTACAAGATGCAGGACTGGCCAGCTCCCGGATGCCCATTATCTGTCCTGGAGAGGCTAAGGCTGGAATCGTGGGGAAGAAGAGTCTCTTGGGGCTGTGTCTGAGATCTGTGCTGGCCCCCAGTCCTCTGGCTCCAGAGCCCTAAGGCCCTTGCCCAGTGCTCACATTCATGACTGCATTTATCTCTGCAACAGCCTCGTCGTCAGTGGGAAACTGGTAGATCTGGACCCCATTGCTGACCAGCTCGCCCATGATCTTGATCTTGAACTTGTGGAGCTCACTCTTGGAGATGGTGTCAGCCTTGGCAATGATGGGAATAATGTTCACCTGGGATTAGGGAGAGGTGGCGGCCAAGTTAGTTATGTATTTTGAGCAAAGGCTGCGTCCTGACTGTGGACAGCCCTCCCAGGCATATCCCTGGGCAGAAGGGTAGAACATCAGAGAGACAGAGCGGCTCCCCTGGGTCACTCCAGCCCTAACCCAGCCACCTGTGACCATTCTGATGGGTTATAACAATCAGCTGCAGCGCTTCCTACAGCCCTGGATTCCCCCAAACCACTATCCAGACCTAAAATTAGTCTCCTTGGGCAAACCAAGCTTCGACCCAGAGTGTTCTGCAGGTCTCAACTGGCTGGGGACCTGACAGAAGCAGCAGCAAGGGGGTTGAACTCCCCACTAAGCAGGTAAGGCAACCCTATCAGCAGTGGCCACAGGAAGACCTCAAAATCTCCCAGGCCAAGGTTATTCCATTGTTTAGAGTAAAAACTCCTGAGATGGGAAGGGTAGTCACATGAGAACCAACAGGTGACTGTGGGGTTGCACACTCTCCAAGACCCCAACCATTCCTGCTTTGCCCATGAAGCTGCCCTCTCTTCTCTGCCCTTACAATACCCACTCCTCATTTGCATTCCACTTCCGCAGTTTATCTTGCCTCTCCCTAGGGAGGAGAGGGGGTGTGAAGGAAGCAAAGGAAATAGGAGGTGAGAGAGAGAAATGAGCAGAGAAGAGGCTGAAATGGGATGCGGGCACTCTGGGGAGAGGTCAGGGTGGGGGCACACGTGGCTCTAGGGAAAGGAGAGGAGGCCCAGAGCCAGTGGGGCTGAGAGGGAAAATCGATTCAGCTGGAAGGAAGGGGCTCAGGGCCAAACCCCAGAGACAGGGCTGTGAAGAAAGAGCCCAGAGCAGTAGGGGCCACTGGAGCAACAGGGGCAGATGCAATAGGAAATAGAGGGATGACCAAGCTGAGGGGACCACAGCGGACCACAAGCCCCTGAGAGCGAGGGCCCTGAGGACCACAGCGGACAGCCACGTCACTGCATCCCACCCCAGTGGAGGACCCTGGAGCCCGTGGAACAAGTGAGGCATGGGCCCACAGACCTTGCTGTCCAGTTTCTTCATGGTCACCAGGTCCAGGGACTTGAGTGAATGCCCTGTGGGCGTGATGAAGTAGAGGCAAACGTGGATCCTGGTGTCGTGGTAATCGAAGAGGGAACGGCGGATCTTCAGCTCCTCTTGCAGATAGTTCTCAAACTGCGCATCGATGTAGTCGACGATGGGCCTGTAACTACAGACAGATCCATCACCTAGGAGGTAGGCAGCTGGGTTGGGCGTGTGGGGCTGGAGGTAGGCCATGCTCCCACCCCCGGCCTTCTGTCTGGGGATCCCTGTCTGCGTACAGGTAACTGACTCATTCTCCCGATCCCCTCCCCAAGGAGTAACTGGTTAGCTAGTGGCCAAAGGACCTCAGGTATTCCCCGAGAGACCCCCCTGGCCCCCATGAAGTGTGGGGGCTCAGTTATTCCTATGGGGGCAGCATGGAGTGAGGGGCACTCAGACAGCTGTAGAACTATGGCCAACGTGGGTGGGACAGGGATGACATTTTTCTGGGTGGAGCCACCCTTCCCGCCTCTTGCCTTTCATCCTTATTGATCTGATCCCCGAAGCCCACAGCGTCCACAATGGTCAGCTTGAGCTGCACGTTGCTCTCCTGGAGGTCATAGGTCTGGGGCCGCAGGCGCACGCACTCCTCATGGTGACTGGCTTCCTCGGTCTCAAAGGTCGTATTGAAAAGTGTGTTCATCAGCGTGGACTTGCCGATGCCAGTCTCCCCTGGGGAGCAGGAGGAGGGCAGAGTTGAATGTCAGAGGGCTGGAGCCTGGGCTGTCCCTGGCTGGGGCTCAGCCTCCCTACAAGAAAGAGGGGCAGGCCTCCCACTCCATCCCATGCTGTCCTCAGCCCCTAGGAGCCATCCCTTCTACAAGTGGCCTCAGAAATAGTGTGGGAAGAAAAAGCCAAAAGGGGACTTGAGTACAGATATGGCACGTGGGATGTGTGAGCTGTTTCCTTGGGGAGCAGGAAGCGACAGAGCCTGGCAGCCATGGAGACACCACTGGACACTGGTCTCTGCTGGCCTCAGTGGTACCCAGCCAGCTAACACATAGCCTGCCTGCACACCACCCCTCCCGGGCCCAGGATGGTCACGGGGCCAGCAGGGCCAGGGTCTGAAGTCACAAGTGGCTCAGCCCACCTGTGTTGGGTGGCCCCAGCACCACATAACTTTAAAGGGAGGAGAAGTTCAGGATGGGCTGCTCCCTGGGGGGCACCCACAGCCTAGCAGATGCACCTGCAGAGGTCCTTCTGGGAGCCCCAGGCCTGAGGTACAGGGAACCTCCCAGAGCCTCCATGTTTTGGGCTTCATTTATTCAGATGTAAGCTATAGCCCTCAGTACCTAATATTGTGATGATCTGTTACCCTCTCTTAAAGGGGCAGAGTCTGGCTTACCATAGTGTCCTTGACACATAGCTTAAAAAAAAAAAAAAAAAAACAGTCGCTGTTGAGTCGATTCCAACTCCTGGCGACCCCATGTTGTTTCAGAGTAGAACTGCACTCCATAGGGTTTTCAATGGTTATGATCTTTCAGAAGTAGATCGCCAGGTCTTTCTTCCGAGGCACCTCTAGGGTGGATTCAAACTGCCAACCTTTCAGTTAGTAGCTGAGTGCTTAGCCATTTGTGCCCCCCAGGGACTGCCAGACACACAGTAGGCATGAGTAAATGTTTTTAAATAAATGAATAATCTAAATCTTTCTGATAAACACCCATTTTACAGAGTACTGTCACATGTCTAGTCCTAGTTAACCCTCATGACAACTGTGAGTCGGGCTCTAGATCCAACTCTGCCCTTGACCCTAGCAGAGACACCAACCAAACCCTCATCGTGATACCCCAAGGTTTCACTCTGCCCGGGAAGCCCCCCCTTGCAGATTGACAGGGGGCCAGGGCAGCAGCCCCCCATTGCCTGGAAGGTTCTCATTGTCCTCTGCCTGAGGCTGCTCCCTGGCCAGGTGTGGACACTCACCCACACAGAGGATGTTGAAGCTGAAGCCCTGAGTGACCGACTTGCTGACCAGCTGGTCGGGAAGGCTGTCAAAGCCCACGTGGCCCCCAAGGGAGAGGCTCCGGGACTCCGGCTCTGCATTCTGCCGAGCAAGAGATAGACAGAGACAGTGAGCCCACTGGGGAACAGAGGCCTGGCTCAGGTGAGGCTCACCCCAAGTCAAGACTCAAACCTGCCTCCTTCCCTTGTCTGAATTCTGAGCAAATCTCAGGACACACCTGTGAGTGCACCAGAGCTCCAATTCCAGGCCAGGCTTCCACAGGAGCCCAACAGGCCTCGGGACCCTGGACTCTCACCTTGGAGAAGCCCTTTCACCCATGACTCTGCTTCTCCGCCTCAGTTGGCCAGGGATGCCTGGGGCTGGACCTCATCTCTCTCCTGGAACAGGTGGTCCCAGGACCTATGACGGCTTCCCCTGAGGGCTCACCTTTCCTCCTGCTCAGGAGGAGGCCCCTATGGTTCCTGAATCTTAAATAAAGACTCCAAGCACCAGGATTAGAGAGTGTGTATGTTGCTGTGACCAGCTCTGGGGAGAAGCAGCTGCTGCAACCCCCTCCCAGGACTCAAGCAGAGGCGGGTCTGGTGACCCCCTCACACTCGTCCTCCAGAGGGGCCTCCCCCACCAGGCCAGGCTCACGACCCTCTGCGCGCGCCCAGTTCCTCACACACCCAGGTGTGGAGTGCACACGTGGGCTCCCTAAAGGACAGCTCAGCACTGGGTCTCAGGGACGGACTCTGAAGGGATCATGACTCTAAAGCCTCCTCCCTCTGCCTCAGCGGTATTCTCCAGAGACCCCCAGGCTCTAGCTTATGCACCCTGCCACCCCTGTCCTCACCCTGGTTGTTTAGACAGAGGGTCCTGATGAGAATGCAGAGCCCTGGCCTTAGCAGAGCCGCAGGCAGCAGGTCCCGAGTAAGCTCAGGCCACTGGAGCTGGCCTGCAGCACTATAAAAAGAAACCATGAGATCCCGAAGCAGAGGGTCAAGGCCAGACTCCAGTTTGGGTGTACAGTTTCTCTGGCTTTCCTGGGAATCGGGGGGTGGGGGGTGGGGGGTGGGAAATGCCGCCCTCTGAGGGAAGGTTCCCAGGCTCAGCCTTCCCTGGTTCGGCCCGTCTTGAGGGCAGGCCCCAGACAGCTTCATACTGGGCATAAGCATGCCTCCTCCATTCCAGGGCCCCTCTTCCCTGACCACCAGCTAGTAAGTGCAAGGACAGAAAGGGCAGTGGGTTTGGAGCTTCACCCTGCCATAATGTCCACAGCTCCAGAAGAAGGAAACAGGTCTAACTAAAGACAGCCCCAAAAGCTACTGCTTAGGACAGTGGCAACCCGTTATGCAATGTAGCCATAGGGAGAGTGGTCAGAGAGGGCTAGGGATGAGGCGGCAGGGCCGTGTGGTCACCCTGCAGGCCCTAGGCTCTCTTCCCTCCCTGCAGAGGGATCTCCTCAGCACCTGATCTCTCCCTGACCTCTCTGTGGCCGCAACCTGTTGCCTCAGCCTAAACTCCTCTGACCATTCTTTCCTCCCAACCACAGCCCCCGGCACTCAAACCCAACCTTCTCTTCTCGACTATTTAAACCCCTCTCCCCATCTTGCGCCACCGCCCCAGGCTCAGTCACTGCTGACTCCCAAGTGGGCATGTTGGCAGCCTGGACCGCATACGGCCTCTCTGGGCAGTTGTATCAGCCCCTCCAACAAGTTGGGGTGCCCCTAAGCCTGTTCTCTCCAGTGACTCTCAGGGGAGCCTCTGTTCTGAAACAGCTATCCCCACGGGTCCTGTCACATCCTCCCCACTCAAACCTAGGTCCCCCTAGGGCTGCAAACATAACCGGACAAAGAGGCCCCAAAGATAGCTTCCTCTCACTGATGCCCACATCAAAAAGAGTAAATGGAGCATAGATGTGCTGGGTAAGGTCCAAACCCGTTAGCATGGCATTCCAGGTCCTCACAGTCTGGGGGCCCTTGAAGGCTTGGTGCCAGCCCAGCTGGTTAACTCCGGTCTACTTTTCAAACTCAGCTCCTTCCCTGGGCTCTCAGCATCTGCTCTGACCTGGCCCTCAAGTACTTACATTCCAGACCCTTCACTTGGCAATGATCCCATTTCCTTGCACTATTAGTTATCTTCTTTCTATGCATCTTGGTCCTCTATTCCATAAGCTTCGCTGCAGGCTGCGGGGGTGTCAGGTTTTCCATTCTTCCCAGCCTCCCATGACTATGCCTACTATGCTAGACAACACTACCATTTACACTGAACGCCATCTTCATCTGCCACAGCATCAAGGGGTGTCTGCTCATCTTTCATAGAGCTTCATTATTTAGTTTTTATTCACCTGCTCGTGGCAGCTTGAGGATCAAATGGAGGACAGAACAGTCAGTCTAGAGCTTTTTTATTTTCAGGCGAGACTGAAAATCTCCAAAATTTAAGGCGTGGTGTGCTTGCAGAGAAGGCTATGTGTTTATTCATCCTTTTCTTCCAAGGATGACACAATCAGGATGTAATCCAACATCCTGTAGTCTGCCGCCAAAACCCACCAAGTCAGCTGTGTCTGGAAACCACACGCACACACACACACACAACACACACACACACACAAGAGTACTTAGGAGAGAAACAGAAGCCACCCTATTCCTGAGGTTTTCCCACTTTCTTACAGTTCCAGGCTCCAGAAGTCAAAAGCAGCACTCGGGAGTCTCAGAGAAGCCCACCTATCCACACTCAGCAACCCCTGCCTGGCCCTTTACTCACACAGCCTGCACTCTCTGGGGAAGTGTGTCGAGTATGGGGATGTCTCCCCGAATTGTTACCCAGGCCACACTCGGTCATTCCAGGGGCCCAGACCTGGGGTGATGACCACGCAGGAGCCTCAGGGGCCAGTGGGAATGCCTGTCCTTGGCACATATACATCCCCATACATGCACACACACACACGCATTCACACACACTCACAGCAAAATGATCACTGGTCTGGATAGAGACAGTGTTGTTCCCTGGTCTCAGGAGACAGATCTGACCTCCCCAGCTGCACTGAGGGCTGACTCCTCCACTAATGCCAAGCTCCCTGATCACACATTTGGCACTAACAACATGTGATCTAAGGTACGCTGCTTTTTCTAGGGTATCCACCCCAGGTACCTCTGCTAACCTGAGTGGGGTCACAGCCTAGAAAGAGCCAGCAGCCACTGCTCACCTACCACTACTCGACTCAGAAATGGATTCCAAGTCTCCCACTGGCTACCAGTGCTGCAATTTGGTGAGTAAGACCCCAGCTCCAACTCCAGGGGTGAGTCCTAATAGTCCTGAGCCAATCAGCATGATCCCATGATTGGTTCAGGTATGGGCAAGTGACCCAGGATGGACCTTTGGATCAGCTTGTGACCACCAGCCCGAGGCTGAAGCCCACTCACAGAGGAGTCTGCCCTACCTCTGGGATTTTTCCCTTCCCTCTGGTCATATACCCCCTTATTAAGTTAGTTGAGTGGGTTACATATTACTTGCATCTTTACCGCTTCAGTCTCCAAAGTGAAACTCTTTCGATGCAGCGGAACAGAGAAAGCAAGAACGGCAAGGCGGGGAGGTGTGGAAGGTGAAGCATCTCTGTGTTTGCAACCAAGAGGAAGGAATGGGTGACAAATGATGACATCAGCATCTCACTGAGCACCACCATGTACCTGAACTAAGCTAGGTGATCCACACCTGGTCTCTCATTGAGTCCTTTCTGCACCCTGTGTGGCAGACACCATATTATCCCCATTTTACAGGCAAGAAAACTGAGGTATACAGAAGCTAGGGAATTCACCAGGGCAGAGCCAGGATTTGAGAGCAGGACAAGCCCTTGCCCCAAACCACTGCCTCCCCTACTCTTAGAAGGCTCCCAACTCATTCATTCAGTCACTTAGCACACACTCACTGGATGTCTGCTGTGTGCTAGGCACTAAAATGGCTGCTGAGAATGAAAATATGAAGACACCAAATTCTTACCCTCAGGGGCTTGATCTAATTTAGTTTAAACTCAAATGCCCACAGAAGTCAGGCAGATAATGCAAATGGGGAAAAGGGAGCAGGATAGTAGTAATAATAATGATAACTAACATGTATGGAGTGCTTACTCTGTGCTACTCTGACCTCATTTAATCTGCCCATCAGCCCTATGAGATAGGCTGTAATATAATCTCCATTGTACAGATGGACAACTGACGCACCAAGAGATTAAGTAATATGCCCAAGTCCACACTGCTCAGGAATGTGAAGCCAGGATCTGAATGGAGACAGCATGACGGCAAAGCCGCCACTTTCAGCCACATCGCTCTGCTGCCTGCTGGATGAAAGACAGTCACTGACTTGGCCCAGTGTGGGGGTCCCCCAGGGAGAGGTGGGGACCATGGGGAACTGCAGAGCCTGGGCTCAGTCCATGGCAGCCATGGTTCTATGAGTCCAGTCAACTTTAAGAAAGCCCGCCCAGTGCTACCAGATCTCCCAATTTTTACAAGAAAATTCAGAAATCTAGATTTTTATATGAAATCCCCTAATTTAAAATTTTTGGCAACCAACACAAATTTAGGATATCATGAGGATCCAACGCAACATGTCTGGTGGCTGGACCCGGCTCACGGCTTGACAGTCTGCAACCCTGGTTCTGGTGGGAGAGGAGGGTGAGTGGTCAGGACAATGCACCACTGTTCTCTGGGGCATGGAGACCCACAGGAGACTCGTGGGGGAGAAGCCTCCAGGCTGGACAACCTAACTGGGAGCCTGGTAAGAGGTTTCTGGCCCTTTCCACACCCAGGTTCCTGGGGAGCCCACTCAGGGGCCTCCACTGTCCTCAAAGCCTCAGGACAGAGAACAGGTTGGCAGCTCAGAGTTCTGTACACACACGGTGGGAAACTTCACGGGGCCATTCCCCCATCTCTAATCACTAACAAGTTTTTGGCTCCTGAGACAGGCCCTAGGCTTCTGTGTCATCATTTTCTTTGGCACATCAAAGACAACAACCAGAATAATAGCTGCTCAGGCCGCCTGCACTCCCCCTCGCCTGGCTATCCAGAACAAAGTGGAGAAGGGCATTTTGTTATGCAGCCCAGTGG